AGAGGCAGCTCTAAGCAGGTGGGTTTTAGTCCTGATTTAAATGAACTCAGTGTTTCGGCTGTTTTTCAGTTTTCTGGAAGTTAGTTCCAGAGTTGTGGTGCATAGAAGCTGAATGCTGCTCCTCCATGTTTGGTTCTAAGGGGTAGAAACCAAACATCCGTTATAGTTATGCTAATTAATCTCACTTCATTGATTTCAGCAACTTAATTCACAAAGTGAAACACATTATACAGAATAATTCCACACAAATTGACCTTTATTTCAATTTTTATGATTATATTCTGCTCACAGCTGCTAAAAGCAGCATTTAATATTAGATTACAGCTGACCGATAAACGACATTTTAAAGAAATGTGGGCTTAATAAAAAGTAATTTCAATATCTGCTTAAAGGTTATTTTCAAAAGCCATTTTTAATCTGACAAACAAACCTTGTTGAATTTATCTGATTTATTGAGTATGACAGTATTTGATCCTTCGCCCAGATCTAGAGAATGCTCATCACATCAACAAAAACTGAAACTGAATCTGAAAAAATATGCTCTGTGTTTATTTTAAAGATATACACACAATTGGGTTATTACTATTATTGCTGCACAGTCACATTCAATCAACCACGATAAGCATTCTGACAAGGCTTAAAAGAAGCTTTTGGAAATAACTTCCAAATTAAGGTTTTAAACCCAAATTTCTGTACTGACAAAAAACATGTTTTTATTAATATTCTAATTTTAAATGTGGTGTTTTTATTAGCTGGAAGTAGAAAATCAGGTAACACTTTATTTGAAGGGCGTTGAATAAGACTGTCATGACACTTTCATTAACATGACATAACGCCTGTCAAGAACATCAATAAGCCTTCATGAATATTTATGACTGTTGTCATAAAGCGTCATTCGGTAAATTATGACACTTTTAATACAAAGTTGACATTATTCAAAATGTCTTTGTTATGACAACTTGACATTAACCAAGAAATCATTACTGATATAAATTTGTTAAAAAAGTATTACTGATTGCACTTTAAAAATGAGGTAACTTTATGTTATTAAAGGTAAAGTTTAAACAGTAAACAGTATATATATATATATATATATATATATATATATATATATATATAATATTTTATAACAACTGAAGGTAAACAGTTACTTGATTGTGCTGTAAAATGGTATTATGTGCCTGGAGAACACATAATACCGCCCCTTTAACAAGGTTGTGTAGACTTTTTGTACCCACTGTACTCCACTGAATCAATGGTGTGTGACACTTTTTGTACTTCAAAAATAGATACAAACCCTAAATGGGTGAGAAGCTCAGCTGGATGCCCAGTGCTGAGCTGCTCCATGCGGACCTCACAGAACAGGAAGCCACTGATGAATTACAGGTACTTACTGTGACAGCCTGTGGAGTCTCCAGTCGCGGGTCGCTCCACCGTCTGTGTACAGTCGAGTCTGTGTGATATTTTTGGCCGTGTGACTCAACACCAACACGACAAAAGACGTGACAAGTCTTACATAAATAATATTATGTCAGGCCTGGTTTAATGCACGGTGATGGATCTGGGCCTTGGGTCACTGTGATGCCTGGGATTAAGAACGTCTGATGACAATAACTAGCAAAACAAATAGAGTTGGGAATTCCAACAAAAAAAATTATAAATAAATAATGTAATATTTTTGCAAGATGCTCGTCAATTTTCTTAAAAAGTGACACTCAAAATCCTATTAATTGTTTTTATTTCTGGGAATTCTGCACATTGGCTGCATTTTCATTGACAGTATACTTCTGCAAAATTGATTTGTTTTGCAAAACTGCAACAGAAACAATTGTTTCGCATCAGATAGTCGCATGATCAACTTGATGTTACTACTGTCACAAACCATGAAGAAGATGACAGGAAGTAGTTGGAGGATGAAGGAGCGACTTGTTTATTCATGGGTGATTTTAATTGCCTTTCTTAATTAATGGAAACACTGTAATTGTAAAATAGTTTCTTGTTTTTACATTAGTGGGATATTGACAAAGTTCTGTGCACATTTGTAATGGAAACGCAGCTGGTCTAATCCAAGTAAAAAAAAAAAAACATTAGGGAACTCGATCAAATTTGTTAGCATTTGCATTTTCCTTTATAAATTTAAATATTTACTGTAGAAAGTGAAAATATTTTAATATATTATATAAATATAAACAGATGTTCCAGCTGAAAGAACCGGAGCGATCACCTTGGTCTGGAGCCAAAGGGCTGCTTGCTCATTTGTGTACTTGGGGTCAGTAACTGAGTTTCTATTACAAATGTGCACAAAACTTTTTTCAATATTGTGCCAATGTTGAGAAAATCCTTTGCAATTGTGCCGTTTCCTTTAAGTAAGAAATGAAATGAAAATCAAACAGGAAAGGTTTGTTAATGTGATCACAACAGTCATCCTCGCACAACTTTCTAGCAAAAAACGTGACTTTTTTTTTTATTGGCCTGCATCCGTTAAGCAAATTTATGTTCAGAATTTCAATTTGAAGAACAAAAACACAGCTAATGTATTTAAATTGACTTATGATGCAGAGAAAGTGTTTTGCAAAATACACCAATTGCGGTAAGTCTGAAAAAGGCTGAAAAAACCCATTTTTGCACAGAGTTATTGAGAAACATGTTTTTTAAATTAGTTTCCATTTAACTAATGTATTTTAACTAAGTTATTTTTTGTATTTGCGATTTGTGAATTTTACAGTCAATAGAAATGCAGCTATTTACATTCATGTCAAAGGAATGTCATCTTCAACCTAAAGCAGCATCAGCCTGGATGTTTCTGTCCAGACATGTAGATCCAAAACCATCATTTGGTTCAGACTTGGAGTTTGCTTGTGAATCTCCATCGTCCAGTTTGGAGTTAACTTTCTGCTCTTCTACATAAAAAGGATACAGTTCAGGTGGCTTGGTTTACCTTCTTCAGTAGAAGACCCCAGGAAAGATGGGAAACTCTGTGTAAGTTCTGACGATCGAACGCCTTTGGATTCCCCAAACTAAGGCGAAGGGTGTGGCCGAGTAACAGGATGTCCGAGTTTCTCTCCTGTGCCCTGCTGCCACTTCCTATCAAAGTTATTAGCTTTTAACCTTCAAAAAATCCTTCACAACTGATTTTGAATGTAAAATATCTTTATTTACCTTTTTCAAAATGTGTTTTAAGAACAGAATTTTTCATCACTATGAGGTTGAATACTATTCACAAATAGGAATTAGACATAAGCTTCAAATCAAAATCAGTATGTCACCCTGAACTGTGGCGAGCGACAGGCCCGTTTGAGGCTCTACACTCGTACACGATCAAGCAACTTGAGAAACAGACTTCTCATTCCTTTTTTAGTTTTCAAACTTTTTGGGCATTGAGATCTCAAAAAGCAGCGGCCCGTTAGCGAGTCCAAAATGAATCTAGGGTTTTTAGGCCTCATAAGACCAAGGAACCATCATATTTCATACCTAAATATTTTGAAAGTAAAACCGTAACGGAACAGAAGAGTCTGTGATAAACACATAAAAACAAAGATCTCATCAGAAACACATGACAAATATCTGTATATCATTATTTTGTTGTACAAAAGCAAAACTGATTCTTTTTTCTTTTTTTTTTCTCTCATGGTAACACATGATCGTTTATGGTATTTTGGCAACATCTGCATTTCAGGAGTTAACAGAAAGTCAACTAGAATAACATAAGTCACTGAACATTATTCTTTTTTTTTTTTGTTCCCAATCTGTCCCGCCCCACACAATACATCTTTATATATGATATTGCATGATAAAAAGATGATACATCATTGACATGTCCATGACATTTACATAATCCACAAACATTTCGTTTGTAGCTAGAAATCAGAAATGACTTCTCACTGACTCTTAACACCCTTTCAATCTTTTTCACATCGTTAAATGATCCCACAGTTCTAGACTGAGGCGAATTCAGCTTTGGAGTCCAATTGAAAATTGAAAATAAAAATATATGTTTCTTACTCCTATGTTTTATAAATCAAAATGTCTCCACAAAGTAAGGTAATTAATTCAACTTCGTCTTAATTTCATGGTTTGAAACTGAATTGACCTCAAATCTACAAATGACCCATCTAGTTTCAGAGCTCAGTCTGAGTGAGTAGTCAGTAGTAGAAAAAAAACTACCGTGTCACTACTTGTTTTGCTGGTTCTGCACCACATCAGAATTAATTCAAGAGTTCTTAGAGGCACCTGGAGTGGTACAAATATGTGCTCATCAGGGTTAAGGTATTTTCAGTTCCTTTTTAAGGTTCTTTTTTTTTTCCATAGGTTCATTGTCAAGTCCTCAGGAACCAAAGTACCCAGAAAAAAGACCAGAATGACGATCGTACAGGTACTGATTCTTGTAAGCCTCACATGACCACTTAGGCCTCAGGGCTATGTTTTCTTTATATTCTAACTGTTAATGTGTTATGAAATTATGTCCTGGGCCTGTGAAAAAAACCCCTCCCAAAACAAATGACAGATGCACGCTACAATGTGTGAGAAACATGACTGACTGCTTAACGCAGCTCTTTGTATGGAACAGTAAACAAATTCTGCTCAGATAACTAAACAAACATCAAAAGCAAGTATGAGTATTCTTCTTTACCAAACTGTTGAGTTTCACTGCAAATGTTTTTTTTTTTTTTTTTTTAATGTTTGCACAGATAATTCAAGGTAAAACAGAAATAAATGTCTCTTGAATGAGGGCCCAGCACTTTTACACTACGACAGTGGATAGACAGGCCAGGGGTCTGTGCAGAGCCTCCATAGACAGCATCATTAGATTCAGCATAAGGGCTGTTATCATATTGTCTTAAAGGCCCAGAAAGAAAAACATCATCAGTGCTAATCTAGTCTACACTTCATCAAAAGAGCCAGAGCGAAGCAGCTCATCATTTAAATGATGACCTCATCAAGTCACTCTTATTTTTGACTTGTTTTGTTTGTAATTTCCATAATGAGCCTTTAATACAGTACTTAGTACACAGCTTCCTGAGAATTAGCTAGCTACCATTCTAAAAAGACACTGTACATCTAGCTATCTGCTTAATCTATGTATAGTAAAGGAATGCACTGGAATCCACTGCAAATGAACCAAGTGAAACGATAACCAGTTGGTTCAGTCGGTAGGCATCTTGTCTTTCATTTATAAATTAGTCAACTTTTAAAGGTTGGTTGAAATTCTTCATGAGAGAAAAATCTGAGTTTTGGACTTTCCCCACAGTGAATGTATGAACTACAGTTTTTAGACGTCTTAACTGGAGTAGACAGTGGTCAGAGTGGTCAGTCTCATGACGGGATGTTGAGCAGGAAATTAATGCAAGTTTATGCAAGTAACTAACTCCCTGTTTTTGGTTTATTAAGCACCTTCACACCTCTAAGTACAGAAGAGGATTAGGGCCACCTTTGAAAAGAAAATTGGAACTTTTTTTTTTTGGGCTAGCCAAGCCAACCGCAAAGTAATTTCCTATTTACTTAGCTGAATGACACTAAGCCCACTCCAAACATTTTGGAGTAGTTTATTAAACACCTTCACACCTCTAGATTACACCATCTTTGAAAAGAAAAAGGTGTTTTTTTTTTGTTGTTTTTTTTTTGCTTTTGCTTTTGGCTAAATAAGATGACTGCTATTCCAATACTTAACTGAGTGGCACTAAGCTAATAACTCTGAAATGTTGAGTGGTTTATTCTAAACATTTTCACTGATGTTGCAGTTTTTGGGAAGTCTGCAAATATTCTCCAATCGTGATTTTCTCAAACCACTATCTACTGCCAGTGAGACATTGACTGCTCATACACACCCTTCAAAACCTTACTGAAAAAAACAATAAAGAATGCTTTCTTAACAACTCATGACATTGATTAAAGTTAGTTATAACAGTAAAAGGATAGTTTATGGAGGCTGCTCTCTGTTTGTGATTTGGCCCAATGTGTAAACCATCAGGTCAATATTTGACAGCTCGGTGAAATTCATTTATCTACTTAGGAGGGTTTATGGTGTGATTGTACCTTTTCTTTACTTGGGCACAGCAAGTCAGTTTCTCATATAAAACAATTATCCATGCATACAGCTAATTTTATTCCTGTCATGACTTAAGCCAAGCTTTGGGAGTTTCAGTTACAGTGTGTCAGCCTGAAGGGTTCCTCTGAGAGGGATAAAAATCCCCCATGGTGCCCTGGATTACAGCAGACTGCTTTGTCATATTGTGCAACCGCAGTTTGTCATGGCAGAATCCTGCTAGTCACCAGAACCACAGCAAACAGCAGAGAAATGTGAAGCAGCTAAAGCATAAAGAACCCATCATTTGGCCAGCAGGTACAGTAATTGATCTTTGACAAAAGAAAACAATGCTCTTAGTGGCAGTTAGTAATGTAAAATGTTCAAATTACAACAAATTAATTTGATGAACACTAACAAACTACCATACCTCCTTTGTTCTTGTGTAAACTGATCATTCGGAACCCATCAATTCTCTGGACCAGGATGTGGAATCATGTTTATGTTCACATCTATTAGTGAGGGTAACAACTAGTTTAATGTCACAGCTACATGGATAACGCAGGAAATATCTGGCAGTTATCCCAGAGGACAGTGTGTGGTCTGCAGGTCTTTGGGGATTTTTTTTTTTTTTTTAGCAAATTCCAGACCAATGAGCTCAAAGGTTCTAAAGAATCAATATTCCCATCAAATGGACTTTCTGAAAAACATGAAAGTAAAAAAACAAACAAACAAACAAAAAACAAAACAAAACGCCATTTGCTTGTATTCCTTAAGTTCAACATATATTCTAGATTTCAGAAAAGTTCAACATTTGAAACCACATCAATTGCTGATTCAGCAAGAGAACCAACCTGGGATTTGGGATTAACCAGTTTCACAAACTACTAACATGTTTCATTACACTGGTGTTAAAAGTTTAAGGCTGAGAAACTACCAGACTGATGTAAGTTTAGTCTGGCTGTATGGAGAATAGAATTGCACAACACTCCCCCTTCCCCACCTGTTGCTGCACACTCCTGAGCCAAAGAAAGCCCAGTACACGTTGCCTTTGTAACAACAGAAAAGACAGACCTGGTTGTTTAGAAATGTTGCCAGTTCGTACAGCTTGAACCTAACGGAGTTTCTCCAGTCAGTCCTATTAATCTGTTTTAAACTTCAGTTAGTGAGCTATGATTTGAATATCTTTTATGTCTCTATCCAGTTTGATATCCTTACTAAATAACCAGGTAATATCAGCTTTTTGCATTTATATTCTTCTATAAAGAGCAGAACGTCAAAATGAATAATATGTTATTGAATAATCACATTCAAAATAATGAATAAAAGTAATGGATAATTATTCTAACTTTAATAATCAATTAGTTTTTGTTTTTTTTTTAAAGAATGGTAGAATAAATTGTTTCTGCGGTAAATAAAAGCTACATTATTTTTCAATTATGTGTAATGCATGGCTTTTTTTTTTCTTCAAGGTTCAAATACCATGAGGGTCTCATTCCAGCTCATGACTGTTACTAACAGGAAGGTAAGCACACATTCACATCAAAGATTTTTTAAAGCTTTAAGTTCACAGCCAAATGCAAAACTAAAGATAAAAATCTGGAAATTTCTCTTAAGGTAGAAATGTTATAACCATGCACTACATAAAACCTGCAGCCGGTTTGACACACTCTAAGATGATATTTTGTGTTCAAAACCATTTTGAATATTTCCTACTTTATTTCCAATGTCATGTGAGAAGCTAACACTCTTTTAGGAAAGTTAAAACAGTTTATTTGGATTTGCCTCTTCAGCTCTGTTCTGGCATCATAGCCTCCACAGTTTGAAGTTCACACTGCTATTGTGGGTGACATGTTTATTAATGGAAGCATAGGTAGCATTTAATGTGTTGTTCTCACAAACACTTGCCCTGATGAGCTGAAAATGAATCATTTCTAGCAGGTTTTCTGAATCTAAATAACTTGGAAAAAATTGGAGTGTTGAAAAATGATCATTAAGTAAAAAGTTTAAAAATGAGGGAGTGGAATTTTTACTTTGTCACTTTAATACCATCTTGTGTTTCACTAATGTTCATAAATAAAGATTATGGGAGAACAACAGGACTTGATGCAAAATGTTTAAAATGAGCTAATTTATCAGCATTTGCCTAAATGTTGTGTTAAAATGTATTTTTCCCCCATGAGGCGATAGCTTGAATCTGTGAGCTTCTGTAAGTTATCAGTTTGTTACCTTAGATGTCATATAACAGCAGTTAGCAGTGGAAAGCCAACAGCTGTTGAGAAAGGTCTTCACCCACTCTAGCTAATTTTAGAAATAAAATAAATAAAAAACCTCAACCTGAAAATCTTAATACCATGTGATATGGTGCTACATTAGAAGATATTAACTGGTACATATTCAGAAGTCAGTAATGTTTATTTCTTGTTTCGTAGCCAAACAACATCTCTGGCTGTGCTAAAGTTACTTTGGCAAAGTATCCATCTCAATGGGATCATTTCCAAATCACTTTTAAACCTGTAAGTCAAGAACCACATTTTTTGATAAAGTTGCTGAAATGACCCTGTTAAAAGAGTTGACAAGTCCGATTGTCTCATCCAATGACCTCAACCAATGTAACGTTAGTGCAGAAACACATTGCTTAGGTGAAAAAAAATGAGAATGGTACCTCGTGAAACTGTATCATTTAATGTCCTCTATTGCAGCTTTGCATCCCACTAATTTGTTTTGTTGTTTTTAATGGTTAAAGTTATCTTAGGTTAATCTGCCAGGCTAGCTGCAAGCCTTCAGTGGCTCAGATAAGTTCTTCATTTCTCTAAGAACTATTTGCGATAGAACGTAATGTCTACAACAGGTAATGGACTAAACATGTTAGCTACTAAGAAGATTTATGTTTGATCATTGTTTTGTTTTTTTTAATAATGCTTCTTGGCGTTGAATCTTATATTGCTAAGTATGTGTTTTTCCCCTAAACTGTTGTATAGTTGAGTACCTGCGTCACACTCATGATAATGTTCTCTATGCTACCAAAGCCAATCTGTTTCTGATGGAGGCAGTGTTATGGTGTAGGGCAGCATGACCTTCACTGGAAAACCAAGGCTCGTCATCGTTAAAGGTAATCTCAGAGAAGAGGGATATCAAAATGCTATTTAAAAACCAGTGAAAATCTCCAATCTCAGGGATCAAATTCTGTCTTCCAAAATGTCAATGCTTTCCTCCAGAGTTATCCCAGTCATTCCTTTCTTGCGCTATTCTGCTAAATTCAGATCTCGCTTACAGCTCCAGTAGATTTTCTGCCAGGCCAAACAGCGAAGAAGTTGTGAATGATAACATTGATTTTCTGTGCTGTTTTAGAATTGTAGTCTGGCTGTAGCTTTAGCAACTAACTAACTAATCCTAATCCAAATATTGAATTAGCATTAACAGTACGGCATTTCTCTCTTCACAGTGGAGAACGGTTGGTTACAGAGCAAGTAATTTCCGGTAAGCTTCATAGCGTAGAACTGGCACATTACACATGTCACAGCCAAACATTAGCAGTTGGGTAAAATTAAAACTTCAACAGAGTCCATAGCTTCCAGGAAACAATCGTTTCTCAACAGATGAGAGTTCAGACCCTCTGAAGGAGCTGAAGGGTAGAACAAGGGGCTGGTTTTGCTGGTTTTTACCAGGCTACTCCAGAGGCAGCTTTATCAGAAAATACCTCTAGAATCTGGGAGTGGAGAGGACGTAATGGTCTGCCAGCAGTGCAAGCACCTGTAGGATCAGCCAGGGCGTCCCGTTAATGCCAGGGTGACCAATACAACCACACTGGCTGACTGGTAACAATGGCTAGTTGAGGAATCGGATGCAATCCCTCAGCAGTGTCTGACCAAGCTGGCGTCCAGCTCAACAAGGACTTACAAGACTATTGTTGTTGTTGAGGTCTTTGTTTTAAATTGGTAAGCTACAAATACACTGTATGTCCCTTTATTCAGACTTCAGTTTTTCAATGCATTCATGGATGCTGAACTGCAGGCAGTAGCAAAATAATCTTTATGCCCTTAGCATGACGGATTTGGCTAGTTTTTCATGGCGTAACCCACATATAGAGCTCTGATGCTCAGCCATAAAATGCCTTTTCTTTCCAAATATGGAACAATTTAAGGGGGAAATTAATTAGATTAAAGGAATCTATGGCCTAGAAGCATTTCTACAATAAAGAAATATTCAAATAAACATTATTTTTTTTACTTTAAGTATATAACTGATTACTTCACAGCACTTCACTTAAAATAAATCCAAGCTATCGCTTAAGTAATTGCATTACAATTTTAAATCAAGTTTAGCACATTCACTCATTCACCTTTTTTCCTTATTCATGAAGAACTACACTGAAGTGTTAAAAATGCTTGTATTTCAGGAAGTGTCTACCCTTGTCTTTTTGTCGCACTAGCTTTTTTTGTTACTTAAATTTTAAACTTGTTTTATAGCAGATGGTTGTCCCACCTGGAATTTTCTGTTTTAAAGAGGCATATGTGACATCACCTTCACGCAGCACTAGGGGCCAGCACTAGCAGTCAAATGCACACAGTCTTAAGACATCTGTAGCGTAAACTGATCACTGTATGCTGGAACCGTAAACTGGAGTAAACTGCACACTGAAGAGAGGGGGGTTGTGAGATGGCACAAACAAGTGAAACACAAATAAAACGTTTTTCTACATGACAGCTGCAGCTAAAGTCAACGGTAAAATCTACAACATACTAGAGGGTGGAAATCTACAATAAGCAGCTTCTTTTGAGGCCATGTTGACGCAGGAGAAGTGTCTCTTTCTTTCCCCCTCAAAAAAAAAAAAGAAAAGAAAAGGTGATCAAACACAATTATTCCAAGTCACGGTGCTCTGCTTCTCTGTGGATCTTCCAGCTATGATATCTGTGTTATTCCCATCTGTGTGATCCCACTAAATCAGTAGTGGGGAATTGCAGGAGCACAGCAAATCCGACTGTATACTCAGATGCCCTTCCAGCACGAGGAACACTGAAACGGAGGGTAGAAATACTATACTCGAATGCATCGGAGTCAGATGAGGTTTTGTCGTCGGCTGTTCGCGTCAGCAGTTATGTTATTTACATTGTTTAGTATGTACAGTAGAGAATCTCCCAGAGATGTTAAATTCTGTAAAGCTGCAATGGGGTACTCCTTTAAATTCTTCACATTTAAAAGTCCTCAGATGAAGAGCCATATGAGTCCCTGTAGATTTTTTTTTTTTTTTTTTTACATGTGTAGTAATGGAACCTTCTGGTATATTGCGAGTCTTGACTCTGTAACTGTGCGAGGAGTACCACTTATCTGTTGTTTGATGCTTTGAATGTACACACCACACAAACTCAAAGTCAGTAAATAGCGACACTTTAAATAAAGAACTGTAAAACGGACATTATGGTTCTTCATCTTAGGGATCGGAGTTCTCACACAAAAAAACTCAAGACTTTAAATACAGTAAATATTTTTCATCATAAAGGTATTTGTTGAGAAAGTTGAGTGTTAAATGCACTGTACAACCTTGTATTTTTTTTTCAAAATATAGTTTATCCTCGTGTTTGTTGTAGTTGATTTTTTTTTTATCTACACGCGGTGTCTGCATTGAAATTGGGTGATATCCTGATCATTGGATAGAAAAGAAGAACAGAAGGTGGAGAGATAGAGAAGAGAAAGATAAACAGAAGTTGTTCAGTGCCGTTGTTGCCCTCAGTGAAGACGTTGCACTCCATACCGAGGCTCTCTTCTGTCTCGTACCTCAATCTGTGAGAAAAGATAAGACAGAAGACATATCACTAATCTGCTTTTGAAAATACGACATATTAGATGACAATTTATCAAGTAGATTTAACATTCATTCTGTATTAAAATTATGTCTGCAGGATAGCAAGGCCTCTGAAGGATGCAGCCCCTGAATTTGGACATATGCTATCGTTTTTCTTTTTTTTAACATGACCTGTCTGACAGTGTGGGCCTCAGAATTAATGTGTGAGTGTCGAGGTGTGGCCCAACAGATTTACTTTCACAGACTTGTTATGGGCACATAGATGAAGAAGAATGGAGAAAGGAAAGGGAGAAAGGTACGGAAAAGGTTTAAAAGGAAAGGAGACAGGAGTAGAGGAGAGAAAGAAGCATAAAGTGAAGCATATATCCTTAAAGTATCCCTCTAAACCTGCGGAAAGAGAAAAAAAAAAAAAAAAAAAAAAAAAAAAACTAACTAAAAAATTTTCAGTTCAAACTAAAATTTGAATTGGTTTCTCAAATTTGTTGAGAAACCAACACATTTGAGAAATTAGTTGGTTTCTCAACAATTTTAAGAAATTTGTTGAGAAACCACAACAACTAACACCATTTGCATATGTAATAACACTTACAATATCATTGGAAATTACAAGTAATACAAGATGTATTTAGTAATTTATATTTATTTATTTGGACACACCCTACACCAAAATACCTCATCCATAGTTCACCCAGGATTTCTGTTTAGTGTTACCAACTTCAAGCCACTTTAACCTCCCTACAAAGGTATTGTATGAGGTTGGGATATGGAATCCAAATAGGCCAAGTTTTGAGCTTCTGTTGCCAATGTGACATCCTGGAGAAACCATGAACTGGTGGACACCAGCAGTAACCCAACACTCCTTACGCAACAGACAGACACCAGGTGGTAGCATAGGAAAAACTCTAGGCATGAAAGGTGCTTGTCTCTGAGCAATTATAAAGACTTTCACTTAGCCACAAGAAACTTCCAGCACACTTTCCTTCTTTTTCAGATCACTCTGAACCTGTGGAAAGAGGTTCTCAGGCTGGATGGACCTGAGTGGGAACTGAGGTCCAGAAGTAATAGTGTGATCAAGTGAGAGATGGAGAAGCAGATTCTTATTTTATCTATTGTTGTGCTTGAGTTATTTTGGGCCGTCGCAGAGGGAAGCAGGACCGAAAACAAAAAACCCTCTATGTACTGTCAACATACAAAGTTATTCCATATACCCACAGACTTGTTTTATTTCAAGCATATTCTTCAATCTTCTCACATCAAATGTGTATTGCAGATCAACTTACCCTCGAAACAGCAAAATCTGCAAAGAGAGAGAAGGAAAAATTAACTTACATACTGCAACACACAATGAGAAGAATTGCACAGTTTTGCAAAAAACAAAAAGAATTTACTTACATAAGTATGTGTAAAGCATTTAGGTCATCCTCTGACTGGGGGGAAAGACTGCTTTAATTTGAGACTATATTTGACCCGTGTGTACATATGCTTTCACATGGAAATATTTTGTGAATTACCTACAATTAAATTAAATTGTGAAGGTAAAGTTATCCACTTTTTAATCTGTAAATATTTCAATTCAGTTTGAAGTCTGTTTCAGATATTTCAAGAGCTGCCTTTATCATAGATTGAATTATATTTTACATTTCAATAGGAAATGAAAAACGAGAATTTCTAAATTATTAATTCAACCCAAATATTGGGTAGTTGTAAACAAACATTGGGCCGGATGTATTTTTTGGGTAAGAAAAGAGATGTAAAGGGTCATCATCAGTCCTCAGAGACGATTTTGGAGGCCATAACAAGCTGAACAGACGTCCCTGAACTGAAGGTCTGATTAAATTCTAATAATGTCAATTTAACTGCTGACTTTGACTGTAAGTAGAGATGTATTTTTTTTTCTTTTTTAGCAGAAATAACATTAGCCTCATCAAAGCTAAGTTGTTAGCACGGGCTAGCACCAGCTACATTCAACATTCACAGTTTCATCAAGAAAATGGTAGCAAGCTATTTTTTATCTCTTCACATTGTGTGTTAAACTATATTTGTGTGCTTCATTTATTTTGCAGTTATAATCAAACTGCCTGTTCTGCTATTGACTCTTGTTTTGGTATTGTTTATTGGATTGGGACAAAAGTTGGAAAAATAAGAGGCCATATGTAAGGAAATTAAATTCAGTATAAGATTTATTGCAACAAAAAGCTGTTTCCTTTTCTGAGTCAAGGTTAGTGATTCTAGTATTCAAATTTAGTTGTTAATATTATGTTTTCCATTTCATTTTTTGTATTCTCATTTAAATGCAAAATTACTCTCAAAAAACATTTATCATAAGTCAAAGAAGCTTTTATTCTAGATTTTTAGTCAATTGTGTTTTGAAAATCTAATTTACTATGCTAGCTCAAATCCAGAACCCAATCCCATAGTATGAAATAATTCAGAAGCACTAAATTTAATCTAAAACTTGGTTAGCATAACTGTGTTTTAGGTCTCATTACATTGTGTGTTTAATTTAGCACAAACTGTGTTTTATGCTAACCAAACACAGTTTCTAGAATGGCACAAGTGTCATGTGTTTAATCTTTTATATTTGAAAGCTATTGCCGTTCTGACCAAATTTACCTGAGGAATTAAATTAAACAAAAAAGAAGGGAAATATTTCATTGTTTAATATATTAATTGAACCAAAGAACCACTTGCGACTCCGAAGAGACTTCTAATGAAAACTGTCTCAATCTCTCAGTACAGCTGGAGGTCCAACATATTAATTTTTAATTCATTATTAAAGTAAAACTGTGAAGGTAAGAAATTAAATTGGACAAATATGTTACGGTTTCTGTGCCAGGTCATATCATCATTATAGTATTATCTTTTTAGTACAGGGGCACTGGCACCCTGGTGGCCCCCGTCTAGAACCGTCCATGCCTGAAAGGCATTTATAAGCAATCTGAATCTTGGACTAGTGGACAGTGAAAGTCTAAGGATTTATTTCTGCTAAAGCTTTATTTATTTCTTGGCTAACCTTCAGTTATTTATTGATTGTACATAGAGGAAATTTTTGTGTTTCAGGAAAGAAATTTGTGAACAAACCATATGCAGTTGATATAGTGCTTGGATTGGTGGGCATTTTATGTGTAAACTCATAGAAACCGTCAGTGAGGTTAATCAGATAAGAACAGAAAGACACGCCCACGCTCCGGAATATCTCAGTTACCATGGAAACCATCATGAAGATAGATCATCAGAAAAACCGAGACATCTTATGTCACTAGATTCTGACTCTTCCTCTCCCTCCTTCTCTCTTTTTTTTACTGTTTTGCTTTCCTCTCACCAATTACTATGTCTCATGTCAAGGATTTTTTTTCTCCCCATCCCCCCCCCCCCTTTTTTTTTTTTTTTTTTTTAAACGCTGATCTTTGTTTTGTGATGATGCACTTTGGGTTTTTGGAGTCAGATCAAACACAAAATCCTTATATAAGAAGACTTTTATTGTTCAAAAATAATATCTCCTGCCTGTGCCCTTCCACCAGCGCTCTTCTTTCCTCCTCTTCCCCTTTCTTCTTAGAGCACATAGAACAATGTGATTGGCCTGCCCTGATGCAATATCATGCAAACTGTCAGAAAGCTCCCAGAGGACTCTCCCTCACTCTTAGATTCAGCACTGAGAGCAATTTGGCTGGATATACAGAGGTCAGATTGAAGTGTATTCATTCTAAACCAAGCAAATCTCACTCCTGGTAATGGTAATGGGCTCAGTTTAGGGTTAAAAAATTCGAAAAGTTGGACAATTTTACCTTTTCAGCTACTTTTTTTTTAACCTAAAACACTAGGAGTGCAGATTTAAAAGCACCTTACCTTGTGAAAGGTGTTACTAAATGTATAAATTACACTGTAGGTTAGTTATCTTTAAATCGTCAAATGCAAGAAGGGTATATTGAATTAGGTAATTTGTATAACTTTAAATAAGATTAGATTCTATCTGAAATCCAAGTAAAATTCCAGCAAAGCAATTCAAAACCAGCCTAAAGGACAGGATTTAAAAGTTTTAATGGGATCCTGGTGTCATTGGATTTATCAAAACAGAAATCAATTTAGCTAAACAGGGAGAATATTTTACAAGACCTTTATACACTGACTGCATTGATGTATATATGTAAAATAATGCATATCTTATTATTATACTTTCATATCACCAATGTGTTGACACTGTTAGGTTTGTCTTTCCCCAGAATCCCTATGATTCTTATTTCACACATTTTCAAAAAGTTGGTTGCACCCAAAAATTTGTTTTCAAACACTCTTTCAATGACGATCATATAAATGTCCAACTCTGCATTTTCATAAATTTCTCAATTTTCAAAGTACATCTATATAGTTTTGAAAGTAACACTTTTGATGAAACCAACCTCTGGTTTCATTGAATGTTTCCAAGTAAATATAATGTCTCTCTTCTTCCTCATAAGAAATAAGGTTGTATGACCTGCAAATACAACTAACGTCAGCATGTTGATCTACATTTACTCTACATTTATGTCCAGCCATTGTACAGAGCATGTTTTTCCTTTCTTTCACTTTTTCATTGTCTCTTTCCTGGATCACAGAAATCTTTCACAACTGTTATGATTTCTTTTGTCACTCATTTCTGCCAGCAAACAACCACACACAGTGTTTTATTTATGCAAGTGCTGAACTCAACTTGTTAATAAAATACAAAGACTGTTGAGGAAAACTGAATTCTTATGTTTGAGTCTACCTTTACTCACCTTTGTTGTCTGTCTGCAGATCATCCAGATAGAAGTCTGTCTGCCGGTTTCCCAGGACGAAGGCCAGGAAGGAGAGGATGAGGGCGTCCAGGATGCCCATAATGGCCAGCATGTAGGCCCAGCGTACTGAGCAGTCACCCAGAGAGTATTTCCCTGAATGCTCCCCACACATATCTCGGATCACTTCCGCATCCCAGCCGTCAGGGAAGATCATGCAACCCAGCACCAGGCACACTCCTGAGCAGGGAAATGGGAGAGAACATGCCCTATGTCAAAGTGGGAACAAGAATTACAATTGTGCACACATTTTTGTCTATTTTCTGCTAATGTTGAAAAAACACAATTTCGCAAGTGTGGTGTTTCCATTAAATAAGACCTCAAATTAAAATCACACGTTAAGCTTGATCACGCAATAAGTCATTAAAAATGATGGCAACGATGGATGTAAAAAAACCATATGAGACATATTTATTATCCAACCATGTCAGTGCGTCCATCATCTACCATCCATCAGAGGAAACATCGGCGTCTTATTCAGACTTTGGAGTGACAAGTCCCTTATTCTTAGGAGCAGCTATGTGTTTTGGGGAAATTGTAGTTACCAGTTTTACAGAAGTGCTATGAAATAAACTCATTGGAATAACACACAACGTTTTTATGAACCGTGTGATGCTGTGAGAGCTCTGGTGGAGCCAGCAGGACATTGTTCAACAAAAACAAAGAAAAACCACCATACTATTACTACTTGTTGTCTTCTTCAGTGTTTTTGCCAGTGGTAACATCTGGCCATTGATCATTTGAGTCGAGTGATAAAAAAAAATGCTTCCATTGCAGTTTTGTGAAATGCATTTAGTTTGATACGGCCGCACAACCACCTCATCCTATCGCAATTTTTATTTAATCAAAAGCCATGAGTTTTTTTCTGAATTGGTATGCTTCCAATAAGCAAATTTATTTTTGTAAAATCAATTTGTTGATGGAATTGAAGCTACTGATTCAAGAGTGCGTCTTCTTCATGTATAGTTGCATTAAATGTGCAGTTCTTTTCAGTCCTTGTAATACCTCAACTGCAGGAAATGAAGCCCTTTGTAGCATTAGCTTGCAAGACTCTATTAACAAATTTTTCTGAACATATACCCATTATAACCATTGGCTAGCAGGAGGCAGCACACAGGTCAGCAGGAAAAAGAAAAGGAATGATGCAGGAAGTCTTACGGCGTGTAAAACAGAAATAGATCACATGCAGAATCAAAGTGTTGACAGCACACACTGTTTAGGCCTTCAGGGAAATGAATGTATGCATTCTCAACGCTACAACAGAGAGGGAAATCCATACTTTGCACCTGCTCATTCATCAAAGTGTGCGTCACCATGGGAGCTGATTTTGCCTTATTCTGTCCTCACCAACACTGTTTAACTAGCAGTCATCGCTGTGTGCCTTAGGAGGGCTGTAAGTAAAGCAGTGGGTACATGGAGAGATGGGACATGCACAGTAGATGTTCCTTTCAGAGCAGTCAAGTGTTTTCCCACAGGCAGTACCTTTTGTGATGCACACAAAAAGTAACTCAAATTTAGCCAAGTCAGTGGTTTAATGCTTCCCTTCCCTTTAATGGTTGATGTGTGGAGCTCAGCTGTTTCGAATAGTATTCTTCCTGTAGTTTTAGCAATTGCAGTGGAGGAAGTGAACAAAAACATCCAGTCCATGTCGACAACGCTTCCAAATATTGAATCAACAATAACAGCCATCTTGTTCATATCAGCACTTCTCTCTTCACAGTGGAGGATGGTTATTTACAGCACAGGCAATTTCATTGAACTGGCATGTTGCATAATGCCACAGGCAAATGTTAGCAATTGGGTAAAATTTCAAACCTCAACAGAGTCCAAATCCCCAAGAAGAAATCGTTTCTTAATAACTGAGAGTCCAGACACTCCGGATGAGGCACAGCATAGAACAAGGAGCTGGTTTTGACCACGCTAATTTATTTGTAGTTATTGTTAAGAGAGGAAAAATTCTTGAACTTTAAAAACCTTTTGACTCGTTATATCCTCTCTATGCCCGGGTTCAGAAAAATGCTGTGCGCAAAGACTGAGTTCACACAGAGATAACAGCGTCACAATAATCAGCATTTATTCAAGACAGATGCATACTATGACCAGACAAACATCACAAAACATCAGAAACCTCAGAGCACAAACAACACATGAATTTACCTGAGAGAGAAAAAGACAAAAGATGGAAACGACAAACAAAAAGCAAAGACATCTTTGGAGAAGTTGCAAGCGCAAAATCTGATTTGTTACCACTGTGTAGAAAGTTTTATCCTCTTGTATTTAATTTATTCAAATAAGGCGTATCTTTGCTCATCCAACCAGGAGCTACCTCTGACCCTCTCTCAAGCCAGAAAACCCTCCCGTGTTTACGGCCTTTCACAGATGAGTGTGAAAAGCTACAACTTCTCCTGTATTGTTTTCCCACACAGACAAAAGGCAGTTCAAACGATCCTAGCAAACCATCTGCTGTAACTACAAGTAAAATAAAGGTCAATAGGCCAGAATACATTACTAATTTCAAAACCACAATTTGGCCATTTGAATCAAGACATGTTAAGTTTTAAAACTAGCTTATTTTAAATTTATTTTCTCAACAAGTTATGTTATTATTATTTTAACCCCACACATNGTACAACCTTAATTTGGGAGAATGTCCCTTATTGGNGGAATATATGCAATTCGAAGGACAGTCTCATAGCTTTGTTGATTAGTTGTGCCTAGCACCAAAACAAAATTGATCAATGCTGTCCAACCTGCAACTGGACTAGCTTAACTTGGTGATGATGTCAGTCCTAGCCCAGAGCTCTGGTTTCCGAGACAATTTAAATACACTGGAAGGTCACCCAAAGACCCAATGTGTTGAACAGAACTTTGTTCCAATATCTTATTTTTTAGCAACATCAGCAGATAGAGATGATGGTAGTCCTCCAGACAGCACTACCTGCCCTCATCATCCTCAAATACACTGTGTCCACAGTGGGTCACTTCAGGTTCCTAAGGAACTGTCCTATCTCAGGATCTCAGATGGTCTTCTCCTCACACATACACAGTGTTCAGAAGAAGGCCCAGCAGAGACTGGACTTCCTGTGACAATTCGGGGAGTACAACCTGTGTTGTACTCAAGATGTACAGTTTGAGTGCTGCTGGTCCTGTGCTGTGACCATCAGCATAGGAGCTGCTGGTCTTCCATTATTCAAAACGTGTTTTGTTTGACCATCAAGGTGTGGTTTGGTTCATCCTCAAACAGGACAGGAAAATACTGTAACCAACAGTCAGATCTGCAAAGAGGATCACCAGAGCTGATCTTTCCTCTATTCAAGGGCAGGGTCAAGGAAAGGGGAGACAACAACTCTGCAGACCCCACATATTCTGGACACAAACATTGTTAAAGTCCAAAAAATGCAGTTTCGCAATTGCAGTGTTTCCATTAAATAAGAAACACAATTAAAATCATGTGACTACTCTTATTCATACGATGAGTCATTAAAAAACATGCTGCGCCATCATCCTCCTACCACTGCCTGTTGCTTTCATCTTTTCCATCAGGAGTAGAAACCGGTTATTGATCATCTGACTCGTGTGATGCAACAAAAGTATTCCCTTCGCAGTTATATAAAATACAGATATTGGCGTGTGTCTGTTAAGCAAATTTATTTTTGAAATTCCAATTTGCACAATTATGTGGGAAATAGAAAGGCAGGTAACGATAGTCTTGGAATGGGTAAAGTTTCTCATACGGACCAGATTTCAACTTAAAATTTGTGGACTACTCTTAGCAGTGCAGTCTATGAAATGAAACCAAGCGAGTTAAACCAGCTCTACTATTTTTGATCAGAAGAGAGTGCAGGTATTCACCCAGAATTATGTCAGAAACTTCTTGATGTCTGCAGAAAGCCGGTGGTTGAAGTGCTGTTTCCTGAGGGGACATTAATTCAGATATTTTTTCTATTGCGAGCGTATTTTCAAACCTGTCTGTGTATCCTATAGGTGGGAATTCTGACTATAAAAGCGAAGTTGATTAATCATACGCCTCTACTATCTAATATTGGTGATTCCCACTCCACTAAACCTGATTTTTTTTAAAACATACTGGCAAGCCATTATGAGAAAATGGTGGGCGGCGAACTCATGGCAACAGATGAAGGAGGATATGAGATTAGTCACCACCTCTCTGTGTAAACATGCAAACACAAGGAATCCTATTTTAGGCTGGGATGTACACCATTTCAAACTGCGCCTGCTGCTCTGACAATAGGATTGTAATGAGAGAATAAAATGACGATAATACAGTAAGTAATGAGAGAGGGGGAGAGCAAAGGAAGCCATTATCATGGGAAATCATCATGTTATTAGCTCCTTTTTATGACCTTTATGCGGGATATTAGCCATGATGGGTGAAGATAAAATCATTAGCGCGGTAATGAGCATCAGGTAACATGTTTTATGGATTTTTGATGGATGTGCCTCCTCCTGGTGTCAAGCTCATCCAAAGTTTCTAGTGTTCGAAAACCACACACACACATACACACGCATGCACACACAAAAATGGGGTTGGTGGTTTAAATGTTTCAGTCTGATGGCAACTCATTTACCGGTTATTTCCCATTGTGGCAGCAGTTATTTATAGCGTTCAATTAGTCCAAGCTGTAGACGCTGCAATTACATGTGTTCATGAGCGCAAATAACATTGAGAGAGTGTGGAGACATCCAGGGTCTCTGTCTGCACTAATATTCAAATCTAAAGTAATTACAGTTACATTACAGAATGTTAAAATGGCAACACTCAGAATGTTCACACTGATAATCATAACTACAGCACCACCAGAAAGTATTCACACATCTATTTATTTTTCATTTTATTACATTACAGACTTATTCTAAAATGCATTTGAGTATTGTTGTTTTGCAAAGATCTAAACACAGAACACATATTACAGCAAAAACTGATTTGAAAGGGGAAGTATGATGTGTTTCCCAGGCACATAGTGCCATTTTATAGCACGATCAAGTAACTATGTTACCTTCAGGTGCTTTATAAAATGCTTTATATCAAGTTTGACTTAAAAGAAATTTGACTTTGTAATTTAATGCCTTGAAATTGGGCCTCTGTGTCTTTAAAAACTCCTGCTCTTTCACTCCATCTTCAGAAAGTCATCACACTATGGCTCCTCTATTAACCTTTT